TTTAATTTTTTTTTTTTCTGTTTATTAATAATTAAATTTTTGGTTTTTTCGTTTTATTTTATTAGTTGCAAAAATTTAAATAGCCAATAGGCATAATTTAAAGGCAAAAGTCTTCTACAACACACATAATTTGCTGTTGTTTTCCTCTCTGTGCAAAGAGCATGCATATGTATGTATCTGTCTATATATAAACTAATGGTAAACAAAAGGTTTCGCTAGTTTAGTTAGTTTGTTCATTGGTTTCACTTCCAACCTAATTTACTTTATTAACTAACTTCAGCCAACAGCATAAACTCTACTTTCTGCCCTCCACAAAGAAACTTTTGCGTAGCGCTTTTGGCATAGATGGGAGAATCAAAAACAAAAACAAAAAGAAAAACAGAAACAGAAAAAATCAGAGAAGAAAATAAAAGTAAGGTAAAATAAAAATAGTTGCTCAATAGTTATGTATATCTGAAGCAAAGTTGTTAACTGAAAGTATTTATAAGTAAACAAAAAATAAATACAAAATAAAAACCAAGCGTTAAAAGCAGCAACAAACAAGTTTTTGTAAGTCTTAAGTGAAAAATGAAGAGAAAACTAACTAGGAAAAAATTGAAAACAATTTTCAAAATATTAATAAAAAACTGAAAGCGTAATAAGTATTAAACAAAAAGGAGAGCAACAAATTAAACTAGTTTTAAATACAATTTAATTTGTGTGTGCCAAAGGAAAGAGAAAGAGAGAAGAGGCAGAAGAGAAGGCGCCTAAATAATTGTTGTATAGTCTAATAAATTAGTTACTACAAAAAACAAAGAAAAACAAAATTAAAAACAAAAAGTTACTTAAGTGCAAAACGAGCTTGTTGTCAAATTAATTTTAAATTTAGCTTAAAAAATAATAAGTTACAAATAAAAGAAAATAAAACTGTTTAATGCAAATGCAAAAGAAAAGTATGTGTGTATGTGCGAGCGATAAGTAYATGTATATATGTATATACATTTATATTATACAAATATATGTGTATATATACATCTACATTTATATGGATATACATATATAGTTTGTTTTTACAGCCAGCTGTTGGCTATGTAAATTCTCTACAAACAGCCTCAATCGAGCGTATTAAATTTGTTTTTTCTTTCTTTGTGTATTTAAATAGGAATGTATGTGTCCCTGTGTGTGTGTGTATGTGCGTGTGTACTTAGCCATGCTGTTGCCAATTTCCATAAAATTTTGCTTTAAGCATATATACTATATATAGTATAAATTGATATATACACATATATGTATGTATATATATGCACATTCTATCGGTTTCAGCCGCAAAAAAGCTAGCAAAAAACTAAAAGCAGAATTTCAGGCGCAGTCTAAGAAAATATAATTTGTTGCTCCAAACTTTCTGCCTCTTTTATTAAAAATAATAAAAAAGAATTGAAACAAGGGAAAGCAAATTGTTGAAGAAATAAAAGAAAAAACAGCTCGAATTTTTGTGTAAGATTGTGCCTAATCGAAAGTGAGAAATATAAAAAAATAATAAAAAAAACTAAAAAAGAAAATTAAATTAATTAATAATTTTGAATAATAACTTTATGCAAAGAATGAGTATTTTATAAATGTTTGTATTACCTCATCAATGAGTGCAGCACTCGAAATTAATTAATAATAAATACAATTACATTAAATTGTGTATAACTGGCGAGGGGAGCAGCTGCTAGAGCTGCTGCTAAATTATGAATTCAACTAAAAATCGATGTCAATAATGTTAACTGCTAGCGACTATTTAAAGCAAAACAAACAAAAGTTCATATATAGAAACAATTAAAACATAATAGTAAATAAATGGAAAGCTTTAAATTTCAAAACAAATTCTGAATATCGGATAACTAAATTAGCAAAACAAAGTTTTTTTTTAGTTAAATGCGAAGCGAAATGAGAGTAGAAGAGCCAACTGTTTAATAAATAAACATGTCAACCGGCACAAAGACAGACACAGACACATCTATACACACACACCTATACACACACACACACACACACACACAAAGAAAGCCCTTGCATCTGTCATATGCTCTAATTTGCATTCGTAAGTCAATTTAACTGACGACAGAACAAGAACTAAAACCTACAAATTCTAAAGCAACTAATAAATATGCACACACACAAATACACCCACACATACACTTACACACACACACAAACCACATCTTTGTAAACAATAGAACAAAAAGCTTCAAGGCTTAACTACAAATATGAATAAGACGAGAAAACGTTTTTGGAAAATGAAATGGAATTTCGCAACAACAAAAAAGTACTTTGTAATTGCATTTAACATAAGTAAATTGAAAATAATATATAAATCTATGTAAGAGCAAACAATTAATTACAATTTTTGCTAAACATAAACATAAAAGCAAATCTACAAAAAATAAAAACAAAAATAATTTAGCTAAGTGTGTAAAAATCTAAGCTGAATTATTATACAAAACGAAAACAAAAAAACTTGCATTAAATAAAAAGGATACTATTTAATAAGCATTAATACAAATAACTCTAAACTAAAAAAAAATTGAGGCTACAAAATTTGTTAAAAGGAGAAAACAACTAAAGTAAATTAAAAGTATAAAACGAAGTCTATTTAAGCAATTATTTACAAAGTACACTGAGAGAAAATGTAAATAGCGTAACAAACAAAATTTTAAGTGTAATTTAAACGAAACCCAAAAAACTAAAGAGGAAAAATTAAAAACAATAATGAAAATGCGTAGGTGTAAATGGGAAAGTTTGCCACAAAATTAGTTGAATACATGCGCAGCCTATATGTATGTATATCTGATAAATAACAACAACAAATTTAATAACTAAATGTGTGCAAGAATTCAAACTTAACTGTTAATTGTTGCTCAAAATCAAAAACAAACAAAACCAAAATACCAAATCAAACATTTGAACGCATTCAGCGTTTTATTCATCAAACAATGTTGAATTCTGAACTAACAAAGCAGTAAAAATAATATTAAATTTAAATAATAAACAAACAGCTAAATTGTGTCACCTGTTTAGTATATCAGTATTTGTAACTGAAACAAAAACAAAACAAACCAAAAAACTCTTGAAAATGCGACGAATCAACTTGAACAAACATGAAAAACAATGGAAAAATAAACGGAATTTTTAAATGGAAATACGATTTGTTTTCTCTTTACTGGGATATATGGGTATATATCAGCATATTATTAATTTGCTTAGATTAGAGGTCGAATTCGAGCCACACTTCAGGCGGATCAGCTTTAAATTTCAAATTCAAATTGGGCGCCATATTTCGGTGCTGCCACATCAGTTAATGTTTAACAGAGAACCAGGAACTTAACAGATTTGCTCCACATGGAATCAGTTCAAAATGCATTAACAGTTTGCGCGCGTATTCAAAATCGATATTTGAAAATCTGTTTTTATTAGCAAATAAATATGAAAAACTAGAGATGAGCAAATATACTAATAACATGAATTGCACTCGTACTTTAACAGAGTTATCAGTGCGAAGCGGCAACGAGCGCTGTTAATAACAGCTTGTCTGGATGGCCATTATCACAACACTGCAGATTGACAAGATAGCGTAAAATGTTTGTTTAACATAGGAGAGAACCAGATGAGCAACGGTCACGGCCTTTTTTAGTTCACACAGGTTTAATGTATCGTTCGTTCGATCGAACTTATTCGGAGCTATTCGGAACGAGTCGAGACAACGCTAACAAATAGCCTGTTGCGCAGAAAATGGGGAAACGCAACACAAATTAATTAGCAATTAACGTGCAGTAAATAAACTGCAATACGCGAGCTAAACAAAAGCATTCGGAAAACGTATAGGAAAAGTTCAAACTAAATAAACAAACACGATTCGAGTAACGACAACGCGCAGTCACTAGCCGCAGCAAAACGAAACAGAAAAACAGAAGCAAAACAGCAGTAAAATAAGTAGCAAGTCGCGCACGGCTCAACATAAAAAAATATATATAAATATATAAAATAGAAATATCAATATCAAATAGAGTTTATTTTTATGTTTTTACYTAACTGTCGCGTGATCGTATATGTGCGTTCGACTGTGTGTGTGCGTGTGAGTTAGTGTAAAAATATTTAAAAACAAAATCTTCTGCGCAGGCAGACAGAAGCACAGGGCTGGACGCAAGGGGCGAAACAATCAAAAAACCAGCGACAGCAGCAGCAGCAGCAACAGACAGATAAACAACAACAGCTACAATAATAATAACAACAACAGCAGCTGTAGCTGTAGCTGTGCTCGGTGACGCGGCGCGAGGTGCTCGTCGAGGTCAGTTCAGCACATTTCGCGCACGGCCGTTTTGTGCGTTCGATCGCACCCCCCCTGTCGTCCCTCACTCCGCTCCTGGACCGTCCGGCGGCCACCCGCTATTCTAGCAACAACAATAAAGCATCAGCAAACACCGAAAACAGTTAACAGACTCACGCGCAACTCGTTTTAGTTTTATTGTTTAACTGATAACCCGAACGGGCTGATAAATATCAAAGCGACAAAAACGAGAACGACAACAACAACAGCAACAGCAACAACAAAAGGCTGTGACAAATTATTGCAATTGTCCAAGCGCCAAAAGCTAAGTGCGAATGCGAATGCGCCCTCAATTTGTATGCGGCACACACACGCACACACATAACCGTCCACTCAGTTATTGCCGAACACCCGCTGACGTCAGTCGGGTGGATCGTTATCGTTATCCGAGTATGGTGATGCCGGGGCCAGAGGGGCCCAGCGCGGGCGCCATTGCCACAGCCGGGTTCAATCGCACGCCCCTGACGGAGCTGAGCTCCGAGACGCGCCGCCAGCTGGCATGCATGCTCAATCGCAAGAAGGTGCTGCGCTCCGAGGAGGGCTACGAACGGGACTGGCGTGGCATTGCCTCGCTGTCGGGCCAGCGTGGCTATGTGGACGAGTTTGCCAACATGCCCATGGACCTGGTGCTCAACAGCTGGATCAAGCATAATCCGCAAACGGCTGAGGTGGGGCATCTCGAGGAATACCTGGGCATCATCGATCGCTGGGATGTGCGCGATGATATACAGGAGAATCTAAGTGAGCAGAGAGGAAGAGTGTGTGAGAAAGAGAGATAGTAAATCTATTTCCCTTTCCATATTTGCAGTCAAGGACACAAATCGTTATAATACAAAGCAACAGCAGCTAGAACAGCTGGAGCAGTTGACGCCCACGCCCTCTGTTCAGTGTGTGGAGCGTAACAACAATAGTCTGGCACGCGATGTCAACTTGCTGAGCATCGATGATGAGAAATGCCTACAAAACGGACAGCCGCTGCCCCGCTACAATGCCTGTGTGCTGTACGCCGAGGCGGACATCGAGCATGCAACAGACATTATGAACAACCTAGAGTCTCCGCCCTACAATCTCAAGGCAAGCCAATCTATATATACATATATAGACATCATATACTAGACTATATCTAATCTATTATTGTATTGTAGCTCTTCTTGAGGCATCGGGATCTGCTGCTGGGCGTGCCCTTCGAGCATGTCGAGCTGTCGCAGTTCATGGCCACGCGCTGCAACCATCTGATCGTTGTGCTCACCGAGGAATTTCTCAAGAGTCGCGAGAACACGTATCTGGTGAACTTTACGCAAAAGCTGCAAATCGGTAAGCACCTCTTAGATAATCAGTTAACTCAAGTGCTAAGTGAATACATTCTAGAGAACAACACACGCAAGATAATACCCATATTGTACAAACACAACATGACTATACCCCAGACGCTGGCTATTTATACGCACGTTAACTATACGGAGACGTCGAGCTTGTTCAACTTCTGGGATAAGCTGGCGCGTTCGCTGCAAGATGTGGATGCGGCGTCCATATACAGTGCCAATCAGCAGCTACTTACGTAAGCACAGCTCGAACTTAATAATATCTCAATCTGACGCTAATGAAATAAATCTCGTCTTAATCTGAATACAGACCGCCGGTAACGGAAGCTCTGCCTCAGCCGGAAACGCCGCGCATCTTAATCAACGATGCGGACGTAACAGATCTATCCGACTGGAATTTAAACGATACAAAGCTCAAATCCATGTCGGGCAATACAACGGCGCCGTTGCCCGAACTGAAGATCAAACGCAAAGATAAAATTTTGCAAAAACTAACGCTGAACTTCGGCAGCCCCGGCAAGCCGCTGCGGCATGCGCAGTCGGTTAGTGCCATCCATATGCAGGAACAGGAGAGCACACTGAACGCTAGCAACTCCAATCTGTCAACCTATTCGGAGAACAAGAAGCGCTCCAACAAATGGAGCAGCAAGCTGCTGAAGAAGTTTACGCGCAGCAGCACAAAGCTGCAAACGCCTTGCTGATAGCGGGAGAGAGAGAGAGAGGCAAAGGCGGGGATGCTGTGCAACATGTGAATTTCCTTAAGTTGCGCCCAGTTTGTGGGCCATCATCAATCAATCAATCAGTCAAACAAACACAAACCATCCTTCATTTGATAGTGATTATATACTTAGCCCTTAAAGCCTATAACCTAAAACCTAATCAAGCCAATTAACTTAATGTATTTAGACGCACTTGTTAAACTATGTAAGTCAAACAACGAATAAAGACAATATATATACATATACACACACACACAAGCAGACACACCACAACTCCTAAACACAGATGTAAATTTATAAAAAAGAAAAGCTAAAGCATATGTATACCAAAACAGTAAACAATAACAAAAGTAAATGTATTGGCAAATTGTAAGGTTAATCGAGGCACGCACACACACTCGCACACAATTAGCTATTAGTCACGCGTCTGATAAGTGACTTACTTAATTCAATTAACGAACAGAATGTATACATATAGATAGATAGAGAGAGAGAGAGGGAAAGAGAGATATACCCTATATAATGTAGCCCTAACAAATATCAATTGGACGTCTGTCAGACAAGAAACCGAAACAGACTAAGCAAATGCTGAATAACATTAGATATCTATATATGTGTGTRTGTGTGTAATTGTTGAATAATGTTTATATGCACCATATAACAGCTGAATGTGTATGTGTGTGTGTGTGTCTCCGTCTGTGAACGATAAAGCTTTCGTCACATTTTTGTTTAAGTAATTGTCGCAAAGTGCAGCTCGAGCAACGTTTTATGCCACACACAGTTAAAATATTTATATATATATGTATATGTACATATGTATATATTTGGTGAAGTCACGCGGTTCTAATATAACTGTCAAGTGTTGTACGATCATATGCATACATATGAATATATATATGTAATTCAAAAGTCGCGTGCTTTGTACTTAAAAGTATCTTGAATGAGCTCGAAATGTGCCAATAAAATTCAAATATAAACATATGTACGGTATAATATACACACATATATTAATACTATATATAGCTGTATAGTTAAAAGTCAAGTTTTTATGTTTTTTTCCTGTTAAAACAAAGTTTGTTGTTTCTCTGTGTGCAATAATTAAGTTTATAAATTGTTGTTTTCTCAAATGTGAATACCCTGAGCTCGTTTCCGTTCTTGCTCAAGAATAAATTTGACTCAAATTTGTTTAAATTTTTTTTGTTTTTTTATTTTTCATTTTATTGTTTAAATCGCTTCATAAATA